CTGAAATCCGTATATTCAAAGTCTATTTACGCTATCATTGGCGCTATTAGTATAAATCGCAATGAAAAATCCATGTTCTTTTTACCAGTTGGCGTCCCGACCTCATTTAGACCTTGCAGAGAAAAACACAAGATTTTTTATTAAGAGTTAATCATCATTTTAGTCCTTCAATTGTTTCCCAACTGTTAACGTAGTCCATAGTTTTCAATTTTAACAAATTTAGTCCTCGAATTGTTTAAAATTTCGTCAAGTAAACCCTTTCAATGATCAAAATAGTGATTTCCACATTTTTAAAATTTTGTCAATTTAGTCCCTGAAAGAGTTTAATTGACAAAATTTTAAACAATTCGATGATTAGATTGGTTGAAATTGAAAACTAGAGACTACATTAACATTTGGAAAACAATTGAAGGATCAAAATGTTGATTTTCCCTTTTTATTAAAACATATCGAATTGGGATCCCCAAGATTCATTAAGGGAAAATTAAAGTTTCGGTCCCTCAATTGTTTTGCAACTATTAATTTAGTCCCTAATTTCCAATTTGATCGAATTGACCCTTCAATTGTTTTAAATTTCGTCAATTATATTATCTAGCCATTGTTTGGTAACTAACGATTGACTAACGGAATATTGGTTATGCGATTTAATTGACGAAATTTAAAACAATTGGAGAGTAAATTTGACCAAATTAAAAAATTATGAACTAAATTGACATTTCCAAAATAATTGAGAGACCAAAATTTTGATTTTTCCATTCATTAATTAGCATTTGATTTTCTATTGTACGAAAAGCAAAGCTCCATTGTGAGAGTGATCGAACATACATCGTCACTTTAGCAGATTATTTGTGTCTCCCACTAATATAATGTTCTTTGCATTTTTACAACATAATTAAAGAACCCACTAATTATTTCTCCGCATCTTTTCACTCCTATCCCGTATTGATGTAACTAAACTAGCTAGAAGAGTTCAATCAACTAAAAAAGGTTGAATAGCTAAAATGCTTTTATTATTGAAAAACATTCCCAAATAAAACGATAAGAAAAAATATACAATGAGAATGAAAGGAAGTCTAGTATGATTGTTACGTTCCATTTTATTAAAGATAATAATATGGACCGTTAATAAACAATTTTGCTTATGATTCGACATAATTTTGTGAACACTTGTGTGGATTATATTAAGTGGTAGTTGAGATTATAATTTATATAATTAAGTCTCTCGGTGTTGATCTAGTAAATGGGCAGTTACACTTGATCGAATCTCTCTTCCCTTCTCCTAAATGGTTGAATCTCCAACTACAAGGTTCCTCATATTTCGACTCGACAAAGCATTTGGAATTATGTAAATCACGGTGACTGGGACAAATGCTGATGCACACAAGATATCAGTCCACTTTGGACATAATCTTACACTGTCGTTGTCGAGGATCAAACCTTAGTATATTCTCCCAAATACTGCCTACTGAACCAGTGAGCTAAGCTCGTACGGACACACTTGAAACTCTTTTTTAGTAGCCGACAGGGTGTGGGTTTTAACCCCCACCACAAACAATCTAGACATGAACTTCATCAATTTGGTTTGGGGTTGGGATTGAGTTTTTTGTGCATAGAATAGTACAATTTGTGTTTCAAAAAAAAATGGTACAATTTGTTATTGGACTTTAAAATATGCTCGATTTGCTTTCTCTTGAGCTTGAGAGTAAGTTTATATGATCTAGGATATAGTCTGCCAAGTTAAGAAACTTGGGTTATAAAAAAAAAATTAATCGATATACTTTTTTGATTTACAGGAAAGCTCTTAGGGACTAGTGGATATTGCATTCTTGGTTAAGTATGACTTGTGAAATTAATGGATACAATGCACCGTGTCACCGTGGGTTCCGGAAGGATTAACGTTATTTGGATGATTATGTTTATAGTATGAGCAATGATTATGTCTTGGAATAGATTGGAATAATTTGTTACCCTAATTAGCAATGATGAATTATTATTGATTGTCATAATTAGTGCTTCTTGATTTACGTAGATTATAGAGGGTGAATGATGGCAAATTATGCTGTGAAACTGTGTCTACCTTGCAAGGTGGACACGGTTCCAAAACTATTCATAATTATGAATATATAGTTTAAAAATTATGAACATATAATTCTATAATTATGAACATAGAGTTGTGAACATAATTATGAACATATAGTTCTGTAATTATGAATATATAGAGATTCAATAATTGTGAATATGAAATTTCAAAAATTATGAATATATAGCTTTATAATTATGAACATATAATTCAATAATTATGAACATAGAGTTCTATAATTGTGAATATAGAATTTAATAATTATGAATATAAAGTTCAAAAATGAATATTTAGCTTTATAATTATAAACATATAGTTCAATAATTATGAACATAGAATCGTGTCCACCTTGCAAGGTAACACAGTTCCACAGCATAACGATTGGTGAATGATGCAAATCAATTCTTTTTCCAAAATGTTGAATCCTCAATTCAAGGGCCCTCACATTTTGGACCGACAAAACATGCTTCTTGATTTACGTAAATTATAGAGGGTGAATGATGCAAATATGTTCTTTTCTCAAAAAGTTAAATTTTCAATCCAAAGGGCATTCAAATTCCGTTTCGAAAGAGCGTTTGGAATGATGTAAATCATGGTGATTTAATAGCTCAACAAACATAGTCAAATACCGGTGCACACAAGAGATCTGTCCACTTTAGACATAATTTTCATACGGTCGCTGCCCGTGCGCAAACATGAATGATGCAAATCTGTACTTGAGGAAACGTGTCTTGTATTGAGTAGTTAAGCAAGCTAGTTTACGTTTTTGCAAGGAATAATTTGGAGTTTTTTTTTTTTTTTTCTAATGCTACTGACTCTATTGCATTCTAGTATCTGTTCAAACATACTTTCTTAACCTAATAAAGCACAAAGAGTCAACGCCTCCATAATTAAACTCGATCTCATGACCTCCCACATGAGAGAGGTCGATACATATCATCTGAGTACAAAGTGTTTGTCAATGAATAATTTGGGGCTTTTAATTTGATCAAAATATGCCGATATGGAGTTTGTTAACAAAAATAAAATTGAAACACTTTCTAAAATTGGAAAAAAAAAATCTAGTTTACTATTTTGCCGTTGTCAGAAACGAGAGTGGTATTTGCGTTTTATATTTTTCAAAACTGATTTTCAGCAATTATAAAATAACGTCGAATTATGTGTTTGGCTTATTTTTAATTTCGTATTTTATTTTACGGAATAACGGAATACGTTAAATAATGCGTATGGTTTATGTGTTCTTTTTTTTCTTTTCCTCTCGTTTTTTGGTTATTTAACGTTACTTTTCCATTCTTGTGCATTCTTTTTTATTTATTTATTCCTTTTTACTAGTTTCTTCACCTTTTTTTGTTCTTTAGCGTTATTTTTCCCCTTCTTTTGCGTTATTTCTTTTTTCCTTTTTTCTTCGGTCTTTTCTACCAGTTTCTTCTTCTCCTCTTTTTAGCGTTATTTTTTCCTTCTTTTGCGTTCTTTCTTTTTCTTTCTTTTCTGTCAGTTTCTTTTTCTTCTTCTCTTTATTTATTTATTTTGGATGGTTCTTTTTGTTTTTTTCTTTCTTTCATTTCTATCAGTTTATTCTTCTTCTTCTCTCTCTTTATTTTGGAATTATTCTTTTTTTTTTCCTCTTAATCCTAAGGACATCCACAAATCCACAATGGATCCCTTATCTTCCCAATTTGTAAACACAACTCTTTCACATCATCTATCATATAACATCCTCGCTCTCCTATTTTCTCTTCAATTCTTCCCCAATTTTCTCCCTTTTTATAGAATTTTCTTTTCAATTCTTCCCCCATTTTCTCCCTTTTTATCAGGTCATACTCTTTCACAATCTTACACATTCTTCCCCCATTTTCTCCCTTTTTATAGAATTTTCTCTTCAATTCTTCCCCCATTTTCTCCCTTTTTATAGGTCATACTCTTTCACAGTCTTACACATTCTTCCCCCATTTTCTCCCTTTTACACAGCTGCTCATATGGCATGTAGTGACTCACTCATTACATATTCTTAAGTAACCCCTGGCATGAAAACAAAAAAGGGTTGTGACGCTGAACTGGACTCCCGATAGATAAGAGAAAATCGGAAATACCTTTGAGTTCATACTCCTCTCTCGATACATAATCGAATGTTTTTGTTTTGAAAAACAATAAAAAAAAATTGAATATCGAACTCGAATTGCCATGCTATTATTACTTAATATTATATTGATATTCATATATTCATATAACGAAGGCATAGTCTTTTTTTCTTTTTTTTTTGCCAAATAAAAACCTCATTGGCGCCAAGCGTGAGGGAATGCTACACGTCTGGTAATTGCTCCCCCGGCCAGGATAAAAGATCCCATTGAAGCGGCTAATCCTATGCATATTGTACTGACACCTGGCCGCACAGTTTACATCATATCATAAATAGCTACTCCAGATATTACATCTCTCCCAGGAGAGTTTATATACAAAAAAATATCCTTGGTATCATCTTCGATATTAAGATATACCAAAAGACCAACAATTTGATTCAGGTCATATGTAATAGAGTCAGTAACATAAAAAGAAATTACAAAATTCTCACCTCTACTGAAACTCAATCCCACAATCTCCATTATAAGAAAAGGACTTGGTGCCATTAGACTATAAGATCCTTGTTTGTACTTTATTATATTCAATTATAAATATAAATTGGATGAGATTCATCGATCACCACTTACCAAAATACCAGCTAAGAATGAGATGCAAATTTTAGTGCTCCGTGATGCAAATTTTAGTGCTCCGTAACTTTAACGTTGTGCATCACTGCATGTTTGTCCCATATATATCTTTTAAAGTAATAATTTATTTCTTCTAGATACATCACCCCTATCAAGTACCAATCATAAATCATATCACATAATTATATTGTCATATATGTATCAATTTTATCCTTTTTTTGTATTAACCTTATCTTTTCCAAACTCCTAATAATAATCATTCGTAGGTTTTCTTTTCTTGTATCGATCATATCAGCCGTTCCGTTTCTACTAAGAAAAGAGAAAATGGAACCCAACAAGACGAACAACAAGGATGAAATTCGACGGCCGCTGTTGTTGTCGGAAACAGCATCGGATACGTTTTCCGGCAACGTTAATGGCCGCGGAGATTACGACGGCGGCGACGATGAAGAGGGACATAGAGACCTCAACGCCAGGATCTGGATCGAAACGAAAAAGCTATGGCACATAGTGGGCCCCTCCATCTTCAGCCGTGTCGCCTCCTTCACCATGAACGTCGTCACCCAAGCCTTCGCCGGCCACCTCGGCGAGGTCGAGCTCGCCGCCATCTCCATTTCTAACACCGTCATCGTCGGCCTCAATTTCGGACTCCTTGTAAGTTCTACATCTGCGAAATACAAAATCATACACAATTCTTTAACGGAAAATACTACATGTACTCTCACTCCTTACTCCCAACTTCTACTCTCTTCCACACGTAAACACTTTTACTAAGATCCACATGATAAAAATAGCATATCTTTGTTTAATTTGTCACATCATCATAGAATAAGAGTGAGGAAGTAAATTTGAGAGTACATGTATTAGAATTCATTTTAACATTGTTCCTAGGAAAATAAAATAGGGTATTTTTTTTTGTCAAGAAATTCGCAATCACTATCAGAAACACAACTGGGTAAATTTTGTCTATAATCTTATTCAATAAAAAATTACAATTGGATAAATTCGATAGTGGTCTTAGTAAGCAAATTTGATTATAGGAGGTAACTAATAGTCTAAATTTTATTTGTAACTAATATACTCAAATCAAAAGACTAATAGGTCATGTGGTTCTGCTGGGATTAAACTTATAATGTTACCAAGTCAACAACCAACTAATTTGGCTGGGTTAGTAACTGACAGTCACTATTTGAATGTACAATAAGTCCTGTCTTGTAACTCTAATCAGTAAATGATGACCACGGGGAGGTTGCCCATTGCATATACTTGGCTCAAACAAAAACAAAAATGGTTTTATCATTCAATTGTTGTCATATGCATGTTTAAGGATTATTGGAAAACCTATTGATTTGTACGTGTGTTAGTTAGGGATGGCTAGTGCATTGGAGACATTATGCGGGCAAGCTTTCGGTGCAAAAAAGCTTCACATGCTAGGGATATACATGCAAAGATCATGGATTGTGTTGTTCCTATGTTGCTTCCTTCTGCTGCCTCTCTACGTTTTCGCGACGCCGATTCTGAAGGCGTTGGGGCAGCCGGACGACGTGGCGGAGCAGTCGGGGATGGTGTCGCTGTGGTTCATCCCGCTGCATTTCAGCTTCGCGTTTCAGTTCCCGGTGCAGAGGTTCTTGCAGAGCCAGCTGAAGACGGCGGTTCTGGCCTGGGTTTCGCTGGCGGTGCTGATCGTCCACACGGCCATGAGCTGGCTGTTGGTTTACGTTTTGGAGCTGGGGATCGCCGGCGCGGCGGTGGCGCTGGATATCTCGTGGTGGCTCCTCTTCTTGGGGATGTTTGGGTACGTCGTGTGCGGCGGCTGCCCGGAGACGTGGAGTGGGTTTTCCATGGAGGCGTTTTCCGGACTTTGGGACTTCTTCTCACTCTCTTGCTCTTCCGGGGTCATGCTTTGGTACAGTAACGTATCCCCTTCTCTGAAATTTATTTCTTTGAAAATGGGTACATTTCATAAGAGGATCATCATACTATTTTTTTTGGGGATTAAAACATATAATTTAGTGATTATCAAGTTAACAACTTTATCAATATGAACTAATGTGGCATATCTCGCCATAGTATCAAGGTCAAGCTAAGTGGAAAGGACTTACTTGATTATCACTAAGGCCCTGTTTAGTAAATGGGTATTAGCTGATAGCTGTTAGTTGATTGGGTTAATTAGATGGTATAACTAGTTGATAACATTAGCTTATTGTAGAAATGTGTTTGGTAAATTAGCTGTTAGCTGATAGTTGTTTGGTATAATTTCTTTTCTCAAAAAGCTAATTGAAAAAGTTGATTTGAGTAGCTTTTTCAATTTTAGCATTTTGAAATACAAAAAGCTAATTAATCAAACGCTTATATTGATTTGTAAACTAAGTTAAACAACTAATAGTGGTCAAATAAGCCAAAATTGACCTATAGGCTAACTATTTTACCAAACAGGGCTTATGCATCAGTTGGTCACATAGGTGAAGTTTGGAAAGAATGACTAGGGATCGAATCTCACCAGTCACCAGCAGTAGTGTGGGAGCAACCTCTCGAAGTGAGGGAGGCTCCTTGTGCGCAGTAAGCAAAGGTCTAACTTCTGTGTTTAGCTGAGTTACAATGATTTACATCCTCATGCTCTGTCGGGTTGGAATGTGGGGCTCTTGGGGTTGGGGATTCAATCTTTTGAGAAGAATGATATTGTTGAATGTATAATGTATAATTTTGTATATATGTCTTATTTATTATCCTTACCCTAATAATTTTTTTATGTGTTTAATTATTTTAAGGGGTGAGTTTTTAATTTTGTCATATGTTGAATGTGATAATGCACAGCTTGGAGAATTGGTACTACAGGATCCTAGTATTGATGACTGGCTACTTTGACGACAACGCCACCCTTGCAGTGGATGCACTGTCCATTTGGTATACACTTCTCCCACATTAATGCACCGACCAAGTGGACCAACTTATTACAATAATATAAAATAATTTGTCTTTAATTTGTACATCCACTTGAAGGTATCTAGCTAGAGAATGATGTTTTTTACATTTTCTTGCATGACAGCATGAATATCAATGGCTGGGAAATGATGATACCCCTTGCTTTCTTTGCCGCTACCGGGTAATATATTCATCTCTTTAAAAGAATTTATAAGAAAATCAGCTTTTCAATTTTGTCCTCTATAAATATGATCTAATCACACTTACCACTACCATCGATCTCAATTCTTATTTACAAGCAATCTAACAAGTTATCAAGGGAAACCCTTAGCCCTTCACCTTCTTTATTTCTCTAGTACCCGTAGATCATTTACCCTCAACAGGGACAACTCCAGCCAAATTGTTAGGTTGTTAGCTTAATATTACATGGTTCTAATTTGATTTTCAGTGGAAGCAGTGTATTGGCCTTCCGCAAGCGCAACCACAGTCAAGTTGCTTGAATTGTTGGTTTTAGACTTTAGTAACTGCAAAGTTCTTTAAGTGGGAGTGGCCTATTGACTGGCCGTCTTGGTTAGTTTGAGCTGGACGAGCAACCTAGGCTAGTTTACCTTATTGTGATCCTTTGCCAGCTAAAATCACAAGACATGTTTATCCCATATACATACACTCAGGTAATGACTCACAGATTTTCCTTGTAACAACAACAAAAAAAATAAAAAATCACCCTCCACTGCAATCCAATGAAACCCCGAGTGACTGATGGGTTTTCCTTATCCCGAACAAAAAAAATATATATATAAAACCCTCCACTACAATTCGATGAAACCCGGCCTGAGTGATTGGCGGGTTTTCCTTGTCTCACACACACACACACACCACTACAATTCGATGAAATCCGGCCTGCGTAACTGGCGGATTTTCCTTGTCTCACACACACACACACACCACTACAATTCGATGAAACCCGGCCTGAATGACTGACGGGTTTTCCTTCACACGCACACGCACACGCACATACCTACCTACCTACCTACCTTCCTTTCTCCCAAGCCAGAATTTGATATTATCTTCTAGTATCTAATTATGATATTATTATGAGCAGAGTGAGGGTGGCAAATGAGCTAGGAGCAGGGAGAGGAAAAGCAGCAAAATTTGCAACAATGGTGTCAGTCACACAATCCACCATCATCGGATTGGTGTTCTGTGTGCTCATAATTATGTTTGATGACAAGTTCGCGATGATCTTCACGTCCAGCGCCGACGTTCGCATGATGGTCAACAGGATCGCATATCTTCTGGCCTTCACAATCCTTTTGAACAGTGTTCAGCCGGTTTTATCTGGCGTCGCTGTCGGATCAGGATGGCAAGCCAAAGTAGCTTACATTAATCTAGCCTGCTATTACCTCCTCGGAGTCCCCCTCGGAGTTGTCTTAGGTTATGTTTTCAAAACTGGTGTTGAGGTAGGTAATCCTTTATTTACTACTCCTTATTATATTGTCAATTTAGTCTCCAGACTTTTACTTGTGCGCGAAATTTCTCACCACAATCTCGGTCAACGGGTCCCACACCTCGGCCCGGGAAGATGATGGAGTGGTAAATTACGGTTACATACAGCCGCTTCTGTAGTGGAAGGACAAATGTATGTTTCTGTCACATAGTTTTTGGGAGAAGAGACCAAGGTTTAAACCTCGGTGACAGCAATTTGAGAATTATGTTCAAAGTGGACAGATCCCTTGTGCACACCGGTATTTGGCACTGTCTGCTGAGTCAACTGAGTCATTGAGTCACCGTGATTTACATCCTTCCAAATGCTCATCAGAGTGTGGGGACCCTTGGAATTGGTGATTTAATCTTTTTGGGAGAAGAAAAGAGATGGTCACATCGAGTGTAACTTTCACATTACAACCGACAAATCTTATTTTGCGTGCTTGAATCTATGGCATGAGTACCGGCCAAATGAGTTATTCGTGTTGGCTTCTCTAATCTAAAATTTTACTGATAGAAGTGAGGGGTTTGATTTGATTTTGTAATTTTAAACAAAACCCTAACTTTAGGACGACCTAACTTTCTTAAAAATGTGTAGAAGTATAATTGATAACTAAATTTATACAATAGTTAGTGAGTAAAAGTATTATTTACAAATTATTATACTAATAATGATATGAAAATTTGTAGGGCATATGGGCTGGGATGATTTTTGGTGGAACGGCAGTGCAGACAATAATCTTGGTCATTATGACAATTCGATGCGATTGGGTAAAAGAGGTAAATTTTTACCTTTGAAATAAATAATAATAATTGGAAAAATAACATTTTTCTCGCTTGAAATTATTTATAAATTTTCATTTTTTGACAATATAACATTTTAAATTTTTTGACTAGCTATATATTTGCTAATTGATTGATTGACCACATTATGTATCAACTTAATTATGAAATATTAAAAAAACAATTGAATAACATCACATTAAAAAGTAATTGGTGTTATGGACTGCTTTTGATGTATGGGTGATTTTATTTATGCTCAAAGCAGTAAAAAAAAAAAAATGGTAAGAAAGACAATTTTTTATCAGAAATTAAGAAAGACAAATTTTTATCAGAAATTCTAAATTTTTAATCACTTTCTGATAGTTGATGATAAGAATTTTTATAGTTGTGTGAATTTTACCAAGGTAAATTTTGGAAGAGATTATAGTATAGGGTTGCTCCTACCATTATATTAATTGTTATTATTGGTGTGATGATTTAATATGTAGGCGGAGAAAGCTACTCAACGTGTCCAAAAATGGTCATCTCCAGCCAGTGAATCACATACATAGTAATGTTGGTCCATTTCAGCTTTAAATTTGATGGGATGCATGCCAAACCTAGCCTATTGGCTCAGCTTATAGACTTCTTGATCAATATCAATATATCATTCTTGGACATTTTAGCACACTCTTTAGTCTTAAATTAATATATTTTCGATGATCTATGATAGAATATGAAAAGTTATTATTGGCATTGTTTGGTATTGGTCCTGTTTGGTAAAATGGTTGTTAGCTATTAGCTGATTGTGTTAATTAGAAAGTATAAATAGTTGATAACACTAGCTGATTGTAGAAAAGTGTTTGGTAAATTAGCTGTTAGCTGATAGCTGTTTGGTATAATTTCTTTTTTCAAAAAGCTAATTGAAAAAGTTGCTTGAGTAGCTTTTTGAATTTTAATCTTTTGAAGTTGTAAAAAGCTAATTAGCCAAATATTTATATTGATATTTTAACTAAATCAAACAATTAATAGTGGTCAAATAAGTCAAAATTGGCCTATAGGCCAATTTTTTACCAAACAGAGCCAATATAGTTAGCTTATTATCAGTTAATTTTAACTTATTTGACCACTATTAACTGTAATATATTTTCGATGGTCTATGATAGAATATGAAGAGTTATTGGCCTTGTTTGGTAACATTTTTTTTTGAAATATGGCGTACCAGTATATTAATTCAGAAATTGAACGATAGAGTCACGAGGGATTAAATCCCAGTACATAGAATGATCCTGATCATAAGCTAAACTAGCAAGAGTATGCGCATGTAAATTTAATGTTCTAGAAATAAAACTGAGCGAACAATAAACGAAACTACTAATAGCTGCCCTACACTGCTCAATCACAATTCCAACATAAGATAAGTTTGGTGTGGTAACTGCATGAACCGCATTCTTTAAGACAAGACAATCCGTAAGAATATCCACCTCGTTCTCGTTTCGGTCTTTAAGCCAGGACAAGGCCTTCTTGCATGCTAAAGCTTCTGCCATAAGAGGAGTAAAACACCCCGGGAGCTTTCCATTGGTCGCTGCTTTGAACAAACCATTCGGATCGAATAGAACTACTCCATAGGTTGCACTGCCGGTGTCCGGGTTGTAGCCGGCGTCGACATGGCACGTCACCCGTCCGGCTGTCGGTGCTGGCGTCCCATCGGACGGCGTCGGTAGTGTGCGAGCGTGGACTGCCGTGTAGCTCGCCTCCCCCGCAGCTGCACGGCGCCACACCGTCTCCGGTCTCCTTACCGCGTGTTCCCATACCGCCTCGTTTCTGGCCATCCATAAAAAAGAGAGGACCCCCACAGCGCGTCTGATCTGTTCGCCTGTGAGCATATCCATAACAGTCATAAGCCAGTTTGGAAAAGATGTAGAATAAATATTCATAATGGGTAGCCCCGAAATATTCCATACGGCTCTAGAATAATCACACAAAACTAGTGAATGCATAACATTCTCATTAGTAAGACCACACAACATGCATGTTGGGTTCACATCCACTCTCTTTATAATCAAGTTTGTTGTGGTTGGGAGTATATCACACACCGCTCTCCATAAAAAAAGTTTTCCACTTTGGTGGGACTTTCATCTTCCACAATGTAACCCATCCCACAGTGTGATTTAACTCTCCCATTAGACGCCTATACGCATCCTTTACAGTGTAACAGCCATTTGGGTCATTATGCCAATACCATGTATCCTCATAATCTGGGCTCACAAGTATTTTTAAAATACGATTCACATCTTCAGGTTCAAATATATCAGATAAAATATGGGGGTCCCATGTTTTTGTTTGCTGATCTATTAAGCCTGCAACAACTGCATCCCTTAACGGCTTAGGCATTACTGTTTGAACAAGTGGACTAGGATTATCCTGCAACCACGGATGACCCCATATTAAAGTTTTATGGTCATTTCCAATTCTCCTCCGGACATGGGCAATAACAAAATCATGAGCAGCCATAATACTCCGCTAACAAAAACTGGGGTTACTTCCCACCGTTGCATCAACAAAAGAAGTTTTAGGGAAATATCTTGCCTTATATATTCGCGCTGCCAGAGACCCCGGATCAGTTAGAAACCGCCATGCCTGTTTTCCCAACATCGCTAGATTAAAATTCCTCAGGTCCTTAAAACCCAATCCACCAAACTTCTTAGGGATACACAATTTATCCCATGCTTTCCAGTGGATCCCTCTGTCTGGTCCTTTCCCCCACCAATACCTGTTCATGGCCCTCTGAATAGACTCGCAAACTGATTCAGGGAGCAAAAAAACACTCATTGAAAAGGTGGGCATAGACTGAGCCGCACTTTTCAAAAGCACTTCTTTACCAGCCTGTGATAGCAATTTTTTGTTCCACGAGAAAACCCTTTGTCTGATTTTGTCCTCCACATAAGAGAAAATAGCTCTTTTATTTCTCCCTATAAAAGATGGTAGCCCCAGATATTTTCCAAAATTCCGTGCCTGTTCCACACCCAGACAGTCCGCTACTTCCTCTCTCATTTGTTCCCCAGTATTTTTACTATAGCATATATTAGATTTATGATAATTTACCAACTGACCAGATAGCTCCCCATACCTCTCCAAACACTGTTTGACCACTGTAGCTTCCTGGACATTTGCTTTAAAGAATAACAAGCTATCATCGGCGAAGAAAAGATGTGATACAGGTGATTGTAGCAAAAATAAGATGTGAGCTCGGGTGTGTAATGTCGTCCTCAGTGGATTGGGGGATATGGCACATAATATGCAATCACAAGAAATTAGACACAAGCATAAGGAAGTCAACAAGAAGCTAAGCAAATCATAACAAGATTGAGGCTACGGTAACTAAACAAAGTAACACAAACACATACTAACAATATGTAAACACGAAATAAAGAAATAAGACTCAAGCTAGGGAGCATTATCATCTAGATGCTTTAACAACCTAAGGGATTATGGAGAACAAGTAACCAAGGAATCAAGCGGGAATGCACGTAGGTATCCTAGTCTACGAACCATTCTCGTGATTAATAAACAAGGATTAGAACAAGGAGTTGCCCCACTCTCGTGGTGAATCAATTCCAAGTCCATCAAGCACACAAAGCATCTAAAGCCCCCAATTTCCCCTATTTTCGTAGGAAGAAATTGGGTCTATGCAAGGGGTGGCTTGGATTCATCACCCAACTCTCGTTGAGGCAAGGAATCCTCCAAAAACAAACTAATGAAAGTGTACATCAAACATTAGCAAGATATAAATACAAAACCTTCACAAACACATGAACCCTAGGTTGGAGTTCTTCCCCTTTTTTGCAATAATCACAAATCAAGCATCAAGATAGTAAATACAACCCTAACTCAAGTCCATAAACTAACTACTCATGATTAAATAGCATAAAGAACACAAAAACACAAGTAATAAGCATAAATCTTGCAAAATAAAGAGATAAAAGGAAGGAACACTTCTCTAAAGAAATTGGATGGTAGAATCTTGAAATGTTGGAATCCAAGTGTTGAATCCTTGATTACAAGCTTGAAATATGTTAAGAAACCTAAATCTAAACCTAATCTAACACTACAATCTGAAAGGAAGTGAAAGAGAGAAGCTAGGGCTCAACCATGGGTCAAAACCGAGCTAAAATGAGTGAAAAACGCAGTATATAAAGTTGCAGAGGGCTGGCCACGGGTGTGGCCACGCCCTTGGCAACACCTGTGGCCAGAAAGGCAGTTTACACTGCCCAGTGGCGTGGCCACACCCGTGGCCACAAGGCAGTGTGCACTGCCTGTGCACTGAGTCTGTCTTCTAGGTCATTTTTCACCATCTAAAAGTTTGAATTAGCATTTGGTGCTTGAATAAAAGTTGTAGCCCTTCAAGTTATCTTTCCAATGGAGCAAGAATAACGTCATTTGGACATTCCTATGCTGAGATATGGTCCAAAAACCAAACAGTGGTCAGTTTTGAATTGTAAGTTTGGAACTTCAACTTCAAGTATAATTTCGACCCATGTGGCTTCCTTTTTAGGCTTTGATGTATGAATATGAGTTGTAGCTATTTGAGTCTTCTTTCCAATAAGACAAGAATCACATAAATTGGATATTTCTAGACCAAGATATGCCCCAAAAACAGAATAGTGGCCAAACCATGCGAGAATTTCAACTTGTTGACACTTGTTCCACTTTTGCCTTTGGTTTAATTTGTCCATATGATCAACACCATTGAAAACATCACTCTTTGGCTCCTTTGGAAGTGTTGCATCCATCTCCTTAGCTTCACATTGGCTCCCCTTGACTCCAAATGCATCCAACATGATCTAAAATCCTTCATTTCTACTCAAAGATAATAAATTGTGCATAATGGATCAAATGAACAAATAAAGTTCATTTTGAACAACATTGTGACACTTCATAAGAAAAACAAGGCTAAATATGGGGTAGACATGGGTATAAATATGAACAATTATGCACTTATCAACCGGGGGGCTCCCCTTGCCACCCTGCAACCGTGAATAGATCCTACTGCCTGCGCCTTCTGTAATAGCATAGATAAACCTTCAGCACATATAATAAATAAGAAAGGTGAAAGTGGATCTCCCTATCTGAGACCCCTTGTTGGTTGCACCTGGCCACCACTCACGCCATTCACCATAACACTGTATGATACAGTGGTAACACATGTCATTATTAGCTTAATCCACCGTTCTTCAAAGCCCATTACCTCCAGCATCCTTCTTAAGAATGGCCACTCCATTCTATCATAAGATTTTGCCATATCCAATTTAAGTGCTCCCCAACCTGCTACACCACATTGCTTACGATTCAAAAAGTGGCCCACCTCTGCCGCCACAAGTATATTATCTGTTATAAGCCTGCCTGGGATAAACGCACTCTGAGACTCTGAGATTAAATCCCCCAACAAAGGTTTCAATCTGTTAGCAATCATTTTTGTCATAACTCTATACAAGACATTGCTTAGAGCAATAAGCCTCAAATCCGCCACAGTTGTAGGATCATTCTTTTTCGGGATCAAAACAATATTGGTGGCATTCAAATCACTCGGAATTTCACCTGTATCCAGACAATTAATAATAAAAGCAGACACATCTTCTCCAACTATATCCCAGAAACGCTGATAAAAACCGGGATTCATTCCATCCGGTCCCGGTGCCTTGTCAGGATACATGGCAAATAAAGCAGCTTTGACCTCAGCCATATCATAGGGCACAATAATGCCTCATTCTGGTCAACCGTCACCCGGGGGCCAAACTCATCAAATAAAGGGTCCTCACACACAGGGTTACTAGTAGCAAAAATTGTATTGAAATAGCTGATGACTACATTATTCATATCATGTCCCTCCACCCATACCCCATATTCATTCAACAGCTTAGAAACAAAATTCTTTTTCTTTCTAGCAGAAGCATACCTGTGATAATACTTTGTATTTGCATCAGCGCCACGAAGCCAATGCTACTTCGCTCTCTGCCTCCAAAAAACATCTTCTTGGGCTTCTAACTGAGAGATCTGATTATCCAACAGCTGGAACTCAGCCAAAGATGCCGGATCCCTCCTACCACGGATCCGCCCCTGCTCCTTGCGCAGCCGCCAGATATGCTCCCCAAACTTATGAAAATGGTCTCCACCCCAGCGCATCAGCCTGTCCCCACATCGTTGCTGACAATTCAACAATCCCTCTGTCCTCCCCCCTTGCCAGGCGGTTTCCACCACTTCTCTACACCCCTCATCCAGCAGCCATGCCATCTCAAACTTGAAGTTCCTCGGGATCCTTTGTCCTCCCCTTCTTTGTGCATTCATATCAAGGAACAAAGCCGAATGGTCTGAGTTACGAGTGATTATATTCTCTACACCCGCCCTTCCATGCGCATCACACCACTCCATCGTCGCCAACACCTTATCCAATCTCTCCTCTAACCATTGATCCGTTCCACTGTACTTCTCCCAAGTAAATTGGTATCCCCTCATAGGTAACTGACGCAGTCAACACTCATCCACAGCCTCACTAAAACCCCGGAGAAAGTTGTCTGGGTGTGGGTTGTTTCCCCTTTTATCATGCTGGAATAAGAGATCATTGAAATCCCCTATTACAACCCATGGAAGCGGAGACCTCCCCGCCAATGATTTCAGCAACTCCCATGATTCTCGCCTTTGATTACTCTTAGGGAAGCCATAAAAACATGTCATACGCCAAGTCTCCCCTGATGGCATACGGACCTCAATATCCACATGGTTTTTTGAGTAACCCAGTAGTGTAGCTGTATTATTCTTTTTCCACAACAAAGCCAATCCCCCACCGTTCCTCACATTGTCCACATAAAACAACCCCTCATAACCTATCCTCACACGGAGCCTCTCCGCATGATCTTATTTCACCATTGTTTCCATTAGAAATACAAAGTCAGGCTTCTTACCGGACACAAGGCCCACAATCTCTCGAACTGTACGTGGATTGCCCAAGCCACGACAGTTCCAGCTTATCGTACTCATGATGATGGCCGGGACTGGACTCCAGCTCCCGCCGCTCGCAAGTTTTTTGACACATCGGTCATAGCCACATCCTCCCCTTCGCTCAAAACCCCTCGGCGACGTTTGACATTTGCCACCACTCCCTCCACACTCTCACCAACCCCCATACTGCCCTCCCCTATCTCCCCCTCTTCCCGCCCCCGTGCACCGCCATCCGCACCCCTCTCCACCTCCTCCCTCACCATAGGCTTCGGCTTCCCCCCAACCGGCACTAGCCAATTTTCCCCCACCCCCCTCGGCGCACCCCTACTGCCTCCCGCCCGTAACCCCACAAAAGGGTGCATCTCAACTGGAGTTGGTCTCTCACGTGCTTTTAAACAAAACATGTGAACATGGCCCAACATCCCACAAAACGAACAATGTTTATGCAAACGCTCGTACCGAAAGGTTATCCAACTCACCGACTTATCCCGTTTCACCAACTTCATGCCACGCCTCAACGGCTTTCCTACCGCAATAGACACACGGATTCGGTAGAACGTAAGCCACGGGGCTCCCGTGAACCTCTCATCATGTTTCACGAACGTGCCTATGAAATTTCCAGCCTGTTCAAGTACCGTATCCGATGTATATCCCATCGGCAATCCATGCAACTGAACCCACATATCAATTGAATTCAGTTCCACCTCCCCAGGCACAGCTCCGGCCACCACCTCCCGGCATACCAAAGTATTATTCTCGAACCCCCATGGACCCCCATCCAAGACATAATCTATGTTCGTCCTATGATAAAAGACAAACAAGAAAAGTCCCGGCTGAATCTCCGTAACCTGTACCCCCCTCACCGGTTGCCATACGGATGCCATAACCTGCTTCATGATCTCCAGTTTAACCAGCTTTGTAGTCAGGAATCGGCCCACAACAGCCCACGTTTCCTCGTCGTCAACCTGGGGTTCACCGACCCCTTCCCCCTCCGGCACAAATTCATCATGCTCATCCTCCAAGTCAAAGTCCCCCCACCGTGCCGTCAGCCGCTCGACCTCACTGCCTTCCTCCGCCATTCCTGCTGCGCACTGTCAGTCTTGCTTCTCGTCAGATGGAAGACGACGCTCGTCGTCGTAAAGAATCACCGGAAAAACGCAAGAAAACCTAGGTTTCCCTAGAGAGAACCGAAACCCTAGTTTGCCCTAGAGAGAGAATTTTTTAAAAAAAGAAATGTTTTGCCTTGTTTGGTAACATAGTTAGCTTATTATCAGCCAATTTTATATTTAGCTCAATTACTTGATTTAATTTATATCATTGGACATGTCATGTCATTGATGTAAACAACTTGGTCGGCGTGAATAGTATAGTCATGCACTCTTATCCCTTAAGAGAGATCGGGAGTTCAAAATTGGACAACCCAGTGTGAACGATGATTAGCCAGTATTTTTTTAAATGGATAAAGTATTACATTATCTATTTTAATTAATATAATCCCCCAAATATTGTGTGTGTGTGTTTTTTTTTTTTTTTTTTTGTTTTTTTGTTTTTTCCTTTTATTATCGAATTTTTAATTTACTAGACTTAATCCCAACTATTACAATCGTGTCATTTTTACTCTTTTTCATAGAATTCATGCTTTTAGCTATCAAGAATGGAAATCAAAACCATTATTATTGTTTGGTTGATAGGTTTCTAGAACACTACTATATGATTTGATTACTCCCTTAATTAGAAAACACATTCCCTAATAAAATAAGGGTTTCATTCCATGGTTTCTTCTCCTAATTGGTAATTTGATTTTTATGTTTGGATTAGTACTTTTAGATTTTTTTTTTAATTTTTTTGTTCATATTGGTGCTTTGAATGTCTTTATATTATAATAATTATTCCAATTTTACCCTACTACCAAACATGCAAAATACTTTCACCAAAACCCATTACCATTACCAAATATTTGATTCTCATTTCAATTCCGATTCGCATGTATGTGTGAACCAAATACACCCTAAAAGTCATTAGGGGTAAAGGTCCATTCGCAAATCCAAATAAATGATTTTCGAAAAATATGTTTTAGTTTTTCCTGTGTGAATGTAGCTATATATCCAAGAAAAATTAATTCAACAAAAAATGTCATTCTAATTAAAGGATAATTAAAGGATAAAAGACCTATTTGGAGGAAAAATGTTTTACCAAACTTTTATTTTGAAGACGTTTTCTAGATTCATTTCTCCTCTCTCCGTGTGGTGTCATATGTAAATTTTACTGTAGACCGTGATCTATGTATGGTAGCGGCAAATTATTCTATGGACTAAGTGTTGTGTGAATCATGCATAACAAAAAATACATTTTAATATATTAAACGTACATTATTCATGTACTGAATGTATATTATACAAAATAATATACTTTCAGTATTCAAGTAATGTACTTTCAGTACTTAAATAATATACTTTCTTTGAATACAATATACATTTTTAATATATTAAAAGTACATTATTTGTTTATTGAATGTATATCATTTGTTTACTGAATGTACATAATTTGTTAATATGATCCATATATATAATAATAATTGTTCACGGAAATGTGTGGATCATGATCCATGGAATAATGATTCCATAAGTGAGTTGACCCACTATATTTTTTTCTTTTTGAAAAGGTAAGACTTTGACCCCCCCCCCCCTTTTTTTTTTGAATTTCTTTTGTAGAGAGTTATTACATTTTTCAATTTAAACTAATTAATAATTTATAAAATATAACATTGTAATATATTTAATCTCATTTTTTGAAATGAACCAGATAAAAAGGCAACTTGCTTACTTTTAGTCTAACACCAAAAATAAAATATTTTTTAAAAGGAAAAATGTTAATTTTCCTCCTAAGTTTATCATAGTATTCTTTTTCATGATGAAGCTTTTATTCATTGGGTACTATAAATTGGTTGAGAAATTTGGAAAGATAAATTAGATGTTTACAAATAAGTTTATCATTAAGTATATTAAATAATACAAGAGTAAATACCCAAAATGGTCCCTCGACTATAGCTAAATTCACAAATTGGTTCTCGACTTTTAATTTCAACCAATTAAGTCATTAACTTTGCAATTTTAACACGATTTGATCCTCCGTCTATTTGACCGTTTGTTGACTGTGATTTTTGAGGATATATATGTAATTTCATGGTCCATTGTCGGTTTTTTAAGGTTCCGGTTGCATTTTCAGACCGCACTCTAGTTGAGTTCGTACCAGAGCGAAGAAGACGACGTGTTTCCGAAACGGTGCAACGTCATCCTGGAGGCCTCCATGTGCTCCGACGAGAGCTGCAGGTTCTTCTGGAGATCGTCGATGACGGCGCAGCCGCCGGCGATGTTGCAGAATCGCGGCGAATGATGCAAAATCGTGAAATTACATATATATCATCAAAGATCACGGTCAACAAACTGTCAAATAGACTGAGGACCAAATTGTGTTAAGATTGCAAAGTTAAGGACTTAATTGGTTGGAATTGAAAGTCGAGAACCAATTTGTGAATTTAGCTATAGTCAAGGGACCATTTTGAGTATTTACTCATAATACAATTAGATGGTTACAAATAAGGAGGGAAAATTGGAAAGAAAAATTTAAGAGAAGTGCATAACATTAGTCTTTTAAAAAAATGAGTTATTCTTTTAAAAATTAATTTTAAAATTTTCAAATAAACCTTAAGGGGGCGTTTGGTTCACGGAAAGTTAGATTATTTTAGAAAATATTAGATTTCTAAGAATGTTAGATTTATGTGTTTGGTTAAAACTGGATAATAATGATGATGATGATGATAATAACTGAGAAAAAAAATAATACTGAAATTAACTTTAAATAAAGGAATAAGGTTCAAATTGGCCACTGAACGTAACCTGAAAATGCAATTAGGCCACTGAACGAAAAAAAAAAAAGTGCAATTAGGCCACTGAACACTCCAAATGTATGCAATTTCACATGATAGCAGGTTACCATCAATTTTAGCAAGTTACCTGCTTACGTGGCAGCTGAGTTGGCATTTTTAATAATTTTTAAATAATTTTTTATAAAGTTTAATAATAAAGTTTTTAAAAAAAATTATTTAAAACAAATTTTATTTTTTAAAAATTTATTTATTTATTTATTTCAATTTTTTATAAAAAAATTATTATTAAAAGTTATTAAAAATTATTTAAAATTTATTAAAAATGCCAACTCAGCTGCCACGTAAGCAGGTAACCTGCTAAAATTGATGGTAACCTGCTATCCGGTAAAATTGCATACATTTGGAGTGTTCAGTGGCCTAATTGCACGTTTTTGGGTGTTCAGTGGTCTAATTGCATCTTTTTTTTGTTCAATGACCTAATTACATTTTCAGGTTACGTTCAGTGGCCAATTTGAACCTTATTCCTTAAATAAATCTAAAATTCATATCCCCCGATCACGGATGTAGCAGTTCCTACTTTCTTCTTTAAAGTAAGTTTGTAATTACTACTTTTTCTTTAACAATATAAATA